TTAGGGTCAATTTGCATATTACCCTTTTATTTATAGGATAGGCTTGGCAATTAATGCAGGTAGAAAGGTACTGTTTCAGGAACTGGAATGTATGACTGGACCTGCCCTGATTTCAGGAGACACAATGCAATTCAACTTTTGTGCCCCAGGAGGACTGTAAGCGACCATGACAGTATCTGAGTCATTTTGCTCCATGGAGAGGACATCCACCACCCAGGATGCAGAGAAAGAACCCAAGTTCCTTGAGGGCAAGGCTTCACTGGTCGGCAGGTGAAGGGGTGCTCAGAAATTCACAGTACTGCAGCTTTTATCTGATTAACCTTTTCCCTGAAATCCAAATCTCTTACCTACTTTTTCCTGAATTCCAAACCCTTTACCTACACTTTCCTTCTCCTTATAAAGAGTTGGCTTGAGATAAGATGTAAGATGGTCTTTTAAGGGTATGTAACATGCTGTCCTCTCAGATTGCCGGCCGTCTGAATAAAGTGCCCATAAAGATTCAATCCTTATCGCTACTTATTGGTTCTGGTAGTGACAGCGCGAACACTGGCTTTTCCGGTTTCAGGCTGATCCATTGTCATAAATGTGCCACTCTGATGGGGGATGCTGATAATGGGGGAGACTATGCATGTGTGGGGCAGACGGTATATAGTAACTCTCTGTATCTTCCTCTCAATTTGCTGTGAATCTAAAACTGCTCTAAAAAAAAAAAAAAAAAAAAAAAAAAAAGTCTTACAAGCACCAAAAAAAGATTGTGTTCCCTGTTCCTACTTCCTCTCATTGTCCTATCACCTAAACCTGCTATTTCAGAGGTCCCCAATAGTTTGCTACTTCCTATGACTGCACTTTAGTTCTTGTCCTACTGGACCACGAGGTGCCCTCCTGACCGGTCCCTCCTCCTTATAGCCTCACTGTTTGCACCGGCTCCCAGAACACCACTTTTACCTACCTCTACCCTACCTCTCCACTCCCCTTTGGGCCCCCCTGGGTTCTTCTTTGTCAGTTTCATCTCCTAAATCCCAGTGTTCCCCAGCATCCTGTCCTGGTCCTTCCTCTCTTCTCCCTCAACAGCCCATTCATATTCATGGTTGCAATGTGCTGATGTCTCCCAAATCTAGACCTTCTGCCCCAGAATCTCTCCTCTGCTCCACTGCCAAATTTCCAAATGCCACCTACACAACTATGTTCCTCTATTCCACGGGCAGAGAGTATATGTTTAAAACAAAGCAACATCTTTCTTCTATCTGTTCTTCTCCTGGTCCCCTACCTCAGGGAATGGCATTATAATCCTAAACCAGAAATCTGCAAGTCATCCTCACCTCTCTCCCCTCTGACCCCTATCATCTAAACAATCATCAGGTTCTGTCCATTCTGTCATTCAATCACCTCCATTGTTCCTCTCCCACTGTTACCACACAGTCCTGGCTGTGGGCAAATTTCTTCTGATACTTCAGTGACTTCCTAATTGTTTACCTTGCCTCTGGCCAGGACTCATCAATAGCTCCCCTTCTTGGATACACTCCAAACTCCTAACTAGGACAGGGCCATCCAAGATCAGCCACTGTCTGTCTATCCATCTCTTGCCACTTCCTCCCAGCATTCTGTGCTCCAGCCAGGCTAAATTTCTTTAAATTCCTGTTGCATGCTAAACTCCCTCCCTTTCTGGCTTTTGCAAACACTGTCCCTTCCGACTAGAACACCTGTCTCCTAGGACCCTCTTCTTCTTCAGGCTAAACCCACACAATCTTCAGTTCTCAGATTAAGTACCAGTTCTGGAAAGTCTGCCTTGACCTCACCTTCCTGCAAACTGGGTTGCATGCACGTGTCCATGGTAGCATGTTCCCCATCAAAGCAGTCATCACACAATCATTATCGTTCATTCCCTTTATGTCTTTCCTGCTAGAACCCAAGTCCCTTGAGGGCAAGGCTTCTGCATCCCGCCAACCACAGTAAACTGGAGCCTAGCAGAAGGCTTTGGCAGAGAGAAGCTTGGTAAAGTAATTCAATGATGTATGGAAAGCTTTGCCTAATCCCTTTGCTATGAAAACACTTTATCCTCATCTCACTAAGGTAGCAATCACCACAGAGAGTAGCTAAATACAGAGCAGGAGAGGGACCAGAGTCCAGGTGCTATTTCCCAGCTCCTGGTTTTCAGACTTCCTTTGTATAACAAAGTGAAACTTACTTTTAATTTACATTTTAACTCACCCCAGGAGGGGGAAGTGGAATTGATGATAAGATTTAAGAAACATACCACTGTAGCACAGGAATGTCACCATAGCAAATCCTAAATTCTACAGTCTTGGGAAAATCTCTCAACTTTCTTTCCTCTGAAAGATTCGCTATTCCTGCCTTGATTGCCCTTTGTATAACCCACTTTCAAGCCATCTAATATTCTCATCAAAGTGCAAAAAATCACAGGGATCAAGATGCAAATGCCCATAAAGGAAAGAAAGGAAAGGTGAGGCCTTCTCTAACAAGTAGAATTCCAAATGCGTATAATGAACTCTACACATTCAGATCATGACAGAGCCAAGGAATCTGGAGAAATTATAACATAGATCACATTTTAAAGAAGAAGTTCTAGCATTGTTTGCAAAAACATAAGCTGCATCAGAAAACAAATTCTGAAAGAATTAAAAATGCAAAACTTAATAAGCAAACTCAGAATGACCAATATGATCTGATACTATACACGTGTATGCTCAGTTTGGGTACATTAATCATATTTTAGTTTCAATTTCAGTGTTTGTTTTTCTTGTAACAAATATGTAAACATGCACTAACAGAATATTTTTTACAATAAAATTTGTCAGCTCCATTTTTTATTTGGTCCCCATTACATATGTACAGAACGTGAATGGGAGTCTATCTTTATTTTTCAAACATTATTGTTAGGGGATTTATATAGATGCTGACTGAAACAATTATTTACATGGAAAATAAGTGGCATCACAATGCGAGGTGAAATTTTCTTCTATAAATTGCACTCACTCAAATGCATGGCCATATTATGCATTGATCTGGGCAGGAATCCACAGACCACAGCCTATGCCCAGATATTTCCTGTCCTCGGAATCAACCTTCTTCCACTGAGGAATCTTCTTCAGTTTCTATGTTTGATATCTAGGCCTGTCTTTTTAAGTATCATCATCCAAATGTGTTATTTCCAATACACCACTCTCAACTCCAACACTACCGCCCCCAGCCTTTGCCTTCCCAGTCCCATTACACATTTCTTTTCCTGAAGAATAAGCAAATCCTAATGACACCCCTTGTTCTCTGCCTCCCTTTCTGGCCAGGACTTGAACTTACCATGAGCCCAGGCACTCACATTCTCTCAACCTAAACCTACCTCACATCCTGGGCTAGAAGTCACAGTAGTCTGACCTTGAACTCCTTTGACCTGCTGACTCCAGAAATGAGCTGTTACACTGATGGTCAAGTCCCTCTATCCACATTTAGACATAACTCTAACTCTACCAGCCTGGAAAGTTATGCTCTCCTCTCCATTCCCCTGTTTTGGGCACACATCAGTAACACAGTCAGAGTGGGTAACTGGACATGTGTCTAATTTGAGGCAAACTGTCCTCCAAACCTGTCTTCTATATAGTTTTTATAAAACAAATTTAAACACAAGCAGGTTATCTGAATTGCCTATCTGTTCTGCAAAATAACATACGGATAATGTTAAACCCTTTATTCTAGTCCACCCTAGATACTGTTACCTATTTTTTACAAAGTTTTTGCTGAAACTTCCTTAAATCCCAGACATTAGAACCTGTACTCATGATTATAAAAAAGCAATGTGTGTGCCCAGGATGAGCACACATTTGGATGATGGGCATTTCCCTGGGAGGGTGCTGTGTAAGAGCCCCCCAGAGGGGGGAGGGGGGCTCGCTCTGCCTTGATTTTCCAGCTGAGGTGCCCTTATCCTGGGTAACACCTGGCAGGCTGGATCACCTGTACTGCCTCCTCTCCTCTACCTTTTAAGTCGGGACCCTCTACCTAGAGGGCTGGAGAAACCTAAGTGGAACAGATTCCGCTGGAGGCAGAACTCTGGTGTGAAATAAGACCTTCTGTTACTTAACTATTCAACGCCCAAATCCACATTTCTGCCTTCCGCACAGAGCAGCTGCCAATACTTCTGGCTCCTTCCCTGAGGCTCCCTGCCCAGGGAATTCCTCACTGGGTCCTGAAAATCACACCTCCTTGTGCTGTGTCCTTCTCTCGCAAAGGCAAGGCCACTCAGACTTTCTACAAGTGGCAGTCGGACCTTCTTCACCTTTTCAGGATTGCTGCTACACCAAACTGGTGACTCAGCACAGTCGTCACGGCTCACGCTCGGTAGCCCGTGCCACCCAGTCTTCAGCACCTAGTACCTCCCTAAACTTAAACTGAAGAAATGTATCCCAAGTGGACTCACATGTGTTCTGCTAACTTTTCCACCAGAATATCCAGGTGCCCGTTCACTTTTCAAATGTGCAGCAGTGCTGGGATTTGGTTTTACGGGATCGAGGACAGCAGAGCATGAATTCTCACTCTTCCAAGAAAAGAGTGCGCCAATTTGCCTTGGGAGTGTCTCCAAAAGGTAAGGGGAAGAAAGAGGAAACGGAAGGCGGGAAATAATGTAGACGTTAACCATTCTCCGGGTACCCTTCAGACGCCAACTCTACAACAGGGTATCAGGATTGCCTGTGCTTTCGGAGAAGCACCATGAGTCCAGTTCCTGACAGGTGAGCACCGCACGGAGACCGCACGGAGACTTGGCCCTCGTTTAGGATTAACACCTGGATCCAAGATCAAGTTAAACCGCTAGACACCAGGAAGGGAGGAATAAAGAGCGAATATAGAAAGAACGTAGAAGAGAACCTCAGATACCCAAAGCATTCCTGCCTTCCCACAGTCACCTGGAGTGGGCTGACGAGCCTGGGCTGGAGCGGCTGGGCCGCGCCCCCTCCCGCTGCGCGCCCAGAGCCACCCGGGCGGCGCCTCCTTACCTTGCGGGAGTAGGGAGGCTTGCTCAGGTGGATGCTGTCACGGACCAGCTTATCCCTGATCATGATCTTCAGCTTCAGCTTGGGGTAGCTCACCAGCTCCCTGCCGAGGGGAGCGGTCGTCTGGCTGCGGGGGTCCCCGCGGGTGCCCTGGGCCGGGCCGCCGTACGGCTCCCCCCGGCGGCCGGTGGAGAAGGCAGCGGCGGGCGGCCCGGGCGGCGCGGGCTGAGGCTGCGGCTCCAACGTGAAGTAGAGGCCGGCGGCGGCGGCGTCCTGCTCCCGCAGCCGGCGCACGGCCTCCAGGATGCGGCGGCGGTGCGCGGGCGCCAGCACCCCGATGGCGTCCAGGTCCGGGTCCCCGATCTGCTTGCACACCTCCAGGTCATCGTAGCCGTTATCCACGAAGGACTCCGCGTACTGCGGGAGCTGCAGCGCTTTCAGCCACTCGTAAACTATGTTGGTGCACATGATGGGACGAGACCCCCGCCGACACACACCGTCCCGGCGCCCGCGCGGCACGGGCGGACCAGTTCTTGGAACTTTTAATCCTCTCCTGCAAGGGGAGAGGGAAATGGCAGTAAAGTTTTCCTTTTAAAAGGAAGAACCGGGCCGGAGACAGAAAGCCATCAGAAGAATCCTGAGGACCCAGAAGCGTACACACGGCAAAGTGAATTCCCCAAGCAGCCTGAAGCGCGCAGGCACCGGCGGTTGGCGAGCCGCTCCGCGCCGCCCCAGCAAGCGCCGCTGCCGCCACCGCCGCCGCGGGGAGGGGCGCGCGGCGGACGCGGGAGTGGGCGGAGGCGGGCGGGGCCGCGGCACACCCCTCGGACCCGCGCGGGGTCAGCGGCCCGCGGTGCCGCCCCGGAGTTTCCCCAGCAGGGGCCGTCCCGGGGCTGCGCGGCGCATCTCGGTTTCTGGCCGTTGCTGTCGGCGTCTGAACGCACGCCCCAGGCTGGGCAGGAGGCTCCTCCGCGCAGACCCGCGGCCGCCCAGGCGCGCTTCGTCTTCGCGAGTGCGTGTCACTGTCGTCCTCCTGGTGGGGAGGGGTGTCTTCTAAACTGCCAGGCTCTCGCGGCTGCTTGCATTGCTTTTCATATTTCTTTTTAATCCGATGTCTCCAGCCCGTGGAGATCTCTGCACTCACTTCCTCTGGAGCCTCCCTGACTCCAGCCCGCGCGCCCTCGGGCTGCCCAAGGGCATGTCCAGTCCGCCCCACCTGGCTGGGCGCGGCTGTGAGGTCAAGTTCCCTTCTCCTTTCCCAGTCCGCGTTGGATCCCCCTTCCTCGCAGCCTGCGTGCAGATTGGAGCCCCGAGATCTGGCTGCTCCCGTGGACGGCGCTCAGTGCCCTTTGGCGGCCCTTTGGCCCCGCGGGTGGGAGCGAAGCGGGGACCGCCGGCGTCCAGCCGGCGCTGCGTGCGGCCCCTCCTCGCTGCAGCTGGGCGCGCGGGGCTGCGGGAGTGGCAGGTGCTTCTGCCTGGCTCTCCCTTGCTAGGCCCCCGGGTCTGTGAAAGTTTGGGATGGGTGGTACTGTCCTCTCCGCTGACATTCCGCACGGCCCTCCACCAGCCTTTCTGCCGGGTCCTCTTATCCTCGTCTCCGCGATGCTTCATCTCCAGTCCCCCCCACCCTGCATTCTGCCCGAGCGCCCCGGGTGGCTCTGCCCCCAGGGCACTTTCAGGCGTTCAGTCCTGCAGCCCGGGCGCAGATGTCTCTCTTCTGCCCCGGAGGTGTGTGAACATGGATACCCCACCACCCAGCTTGCGTTACGGGGGCGCTCAGCCGCCCCCGCCCGCTGCACTTTTCCTCTCTAGAGAATAACAAAATCATCGAGTGCAATGCCTGAGCAAGCGCCTGGGGGTGGGGACAGGAGCTGCAGATGGAACAGACCCAGTAGCTCTTATAAATTTCCCGGAACATCTGACCTCTTTGGGGGGCAAAGAGAATTTTGGTCTAGGTACTCGGTTGGGCAGGTTCACTGTCTCCTCCCTTTTCACAGAAGGGCTGTTCAACTTCTCACCTGAGCTATCCCAGGACCTGAAATGGACTTTTCTGGAAGGAATCTGCGTGGCATGTGCCAGCCGCCAGCTAGCCGTGACCTTGAGCATTTTCTAGGCCTGAGCATTTGGCCCTTGGCAGGGAGCTCCCTCTTTCCCTAAGTCTGTGCCTTTGGGGGCACAGATACCCTAAAGATCAGATGGCAGCTTCTTTTCCTTTTGCCCGGGACCACACCAGATATAGGCGCACCAAAACTATTCCCTACAGTTCCGGTGGCATGGAGTGGGCAGGGGGTGGGGGAGGGGGAGGCTGTCTGGGTTCCCAAGTCCCGGACTCACGGATCCCAAATTAAGAACAGCTGGCAGAAGGAGCCTGGTGATAGGGGGGAGAGAGGGGTGAGGGCAAAAAGGTGTGGGGCTACCATGGCCTCCCCTCTCTCCTCTTCCCCAATCACCCAGACCACCCTTTGGGAACCCGAGCTAAGGTCGCTGCCCCCCGCAGATAGGTGGGCAGGTAGGTGCTCGGAGGCTGGAAACACACAGCCACCTCCGCCCGCCCAGCTCCCAATCTCTGCTTGGCCAAAGCAGGCTCACAGTGCCCCCTGGCGGTCGATCGTGCGAGCACATTTTAAAAGGCGGTGCCCAAGTACCACTGATTCTACTCAGCCCAAGGAAGTGAGCTTCAAGGCATTACATTAATTTACCCCCGGCCTTTCTACTTCTTTAGTGTTTTTATGGAATTCATTGGGGTGACATTGATTTTCAAGACCATACAGGTTTCACGTGTACAACTCCATTAAATTTCATCTGCACCCTGTATGTATAGTACATATAATATATATGGCATGTACTATTATTATCCAGTATCTTGCAGAATAAGAAACTAAGGCACCAAAACACTAATTTGCCCCCAAGTATCACTGTACAAGGTGAAGCCAGGGTTGGAACTCGAGGAATAAATGCAGTGCCTGTCTTGCAGCTCCTAACCTCCCAGTCTCCATCGTGTGCTGTGGAGCAAATGCCAGAGAAATTGGGCTGGTTGTAAGAAGGTTCTCTCTCTCTCTCTCTCTCTCTCTCTCTCTCTCTCTCTCTCTCTCTCTCTCTCTCTCTCTCTCTCTTAAAGACTAGGAAACCTAAAGCTCCAGGTTTTGTTATTGTGTTGTTTTCTTCCCCAAGTTGTACGAAAAGTCCAACAGTGCTACTTCACAGTTCCTAGCTTGCTTTTGTGCAGGCTTTTCCCCTTCGGGAGCTTACACATTCACCTTGTCTCATTAATCCTCACTCAAGGCAGCAAGTATTTTTATTTCCATTTTATAATTAGGGGAACTGGTTTGGGGGAAGATGAATGACTTGCCCAAGGTCATACAGTAAATCAAGACAGAGAGGAGAACTAGCCTGCCATGTCCAAGTGTCGCCCCACCAGGCAGCACTGATTCTCCTTTATTTATGTGCAATGTCACTGTCCAATTAGGAAATAAAGCATCCTGGTGCTCTCTTCGGAAGCCTTTTATAAATTCATCAGTTGTTAATCAGTCGTAAATAAAACTTAGTCTCTGCAACATCCTGCTATCCAGAGGCTTCACTAGTGTGAACTCTGGAAACACTGTCTACCAGCTACCCCTCTGTTTCTCTCCTACACTTGTGCAAACCCTCAGGCTTCTGTCTTTCCACTGCTTGCCTTTGCATATCGAACCTTTTAATAGATTTAGTTCTAGAGGCTACACCATGCAATCATTTGAGAATGTAGAAGTTTTATAGCCTAAATGTGTCTCTCTCCATGGCTCAAATCCAAAGTAAAACTGGCAAGGACACTTGGCTAATTTTAAGCTTCAGAGCTGGAGTCTCAGAGCCAGAAGGCCATTTGAGATCATCTCAAGCATCCACCTTACATGGAGGATGTCAAGGCTCAGGAAGGTGGGTATTTACCTGGGGTCACACAGCCAGTTCACGGCAGAACTGGAACGGAACCAGGTCTGCTTCCTCATATCTCTTCACAATGCACTGCGTTGCCTCATTTTTGCTGTAAGTGCCCGGCTGCTGTCAAAATCATTCATTTACTCATCAAATGTTTATTAAGTAGGCACTTCAGTGCCAGGCACTGAAGCAAAAAGAGTTTTTCTGCATTAATTGGAACTGGAAAAATCTAAGCATGTTAAATAAGTAGAGAATAAACTGATTGCTTTATATGTTAGTTTATGAAGTAGGAAGGTTACAAAGGTGATATTTTCTTCTATCTTTAATTAGTTATCTAAATTTTGTGAACCATAACATTAGGCAAAATTTATAATGAGACTATATTTTACATCCAGACAAAGTGTACTTTAAAAAATCAAGTTGCTATTATACTCCTAGGCACAGCCTTAAAACACAAATTAATTTACTCAACACACATTGTCAAGTACCTATACTATTACAAGTATGTTTTAGTTGTATTGCTTTATTATAGTTGTTTCTTTTTATACAAATATTCAGGACATGTATCCTGCTGATTATTATTTAATATGTTTGGGGCCAGATTTTTTTTCCGAGAGAGGACTTCCTGCCTATTGAAAATTAATAAGAATGTGGGTTGTGGAGAAAGATTTTTTTCAGGCATCATTTTAGAACTATTTCATAGTGGTACTAACTCTGGCAAAATGCCTGTTGATACTTTCAGTGTAATACATTAATGATAAGTACATTCAGGTTTTAAAATCTAAATATCAAAAAAACAGCTTTTCTACATTGCTCAAATTCTGTAACTTGATTTAAGGATATAAAGTGGAAAATAATTTGTTTTGAAATTTTCTTGGTGCCATTTTATTTCTAAGATAAATGTTCGCACATAGGGTGTATAAAAATTAAGTTCCATTAACATCTATTAAACATCAGTTTCCAGAGTGCCTAGTTTTGTAAAAATCAAAGACATACAATATTAATCCTATAATGCAGAATATGTCTTGCTTCTGTTTACCATGAGCTACAAAAAGCATTGAGAAGGAACATATGCCACAGGGAGAAGTGAGAATAATGGACTTGAGTGATGGAACAGGCATTCTGTTCTCCAGTAACTGGGCAGGAGACATTGGGTTGGGTTGGCAACGTGATTGGGAGCAGGCTGGGTCGGAGTGTCTGTTAATATGTCTGAGCTGTATACATTATACTTGGGTGTGAAACACATATATGAAAGAAGGAGAGAAAAGGAACAGTAGGGAGTAGCCGCAGGATGCCAATAGATTATTCATTGCTATTATAATTGGCCAGTTTTTAAGGAAGAAAAGAAAAAAAATGTTCAAAAAGTCAGAGACCTGAAGGTCACTAAAAGAAAGAGAGCGAAGCCCTGCCTGGGTGGCTCAGTTGGTTGGCGTGTTATCCCATACACCAGGGGCTGCAGGGTTGATTCCCTGTCAAGGCACACACTGGGTTTGATCCCCATATATGAGAGGCAGCCGATAGATATTTCTCTATATTTATCTATCTCCCTTTCTCTCTCTAAAAACCACCAATAAAAACATATCCTCGAGTGAGGAATAAAAACAGAATCTGAGAGGGAGAGAAAGAGAGAGAGAGAGAGAGAGAGAGGAAGCTAAGCAAGAGCCTAATAGTGACAGAAAATAAAATTCTTATCCTCTTATCTCTGGTAACCCCCAAACATTCTATATTTTAAAATGCACTCATAAAGAGGAGTTAAAGATTAGTTCAGTGCTTCCTACGATAAAAATGATAGATGGAGGGGTTATTTTTGTTTGTTTGTTTTTTCTTTTAAATATTCACCTAAGGATACTTTTCCATTGATATTTAGAGAGGTGGAAGAGAGGGGGAGAGACACAGAGAGAGAAACATCGATGTGAGAGAGACAGATTGATTGCTTGCCTCCTGCATGCGCCCCGACCAGGGCCAGGGATTGAGCCTACAATTGAGGTATGTGCTCTAGACTATAATCGAACCTTCAGTCTGCAGGCCGATGTTCTATCCAGTAAGCCAAACTGGCAAGGGCAGGTGGAGTATTCTGTTAAATAATAATAAGTAGTTCTTAAGAGTATCGTGTGTGTGTGTGTGTGTGTGTGTGTGTGTGTGTGTGTGTGTGTGTAGAGAGAAAGAGAGAGAGAACCTGAAGGACAGATTATGTAACCTCATACAAATAAAGTGATATTGACAAAAGCTATTTCAGGCAAGTGCAAGTTATTTGCATAATCACAACCATGAAATCATTCAATTTATGACCAAGTATCCAAATTGAATAATAAATGTTCATTGTTCCCATCTAGCAGTTTGTCTCCATTTTGGTGTTAGGATAAATTATTCCTGAGATCTATTTGGCTTTTGATGGCCAAGAGGTTGAAGGTTGTTACTTTTGAATTAAGGCAATCTTATGTGTTTATTAAAATTTTTTCATTCCTTCTTATTTGGGTTAAATTTGCTATTGAAATATATACTCTATAACTCTTCATCCCTTAACTGATAAGAAACCTGAGTGCCATTAGAGGTCTTACGAAAGCCCAAGGTCTTGTCCCTTTTCCAGCTTTGGAGAGAGGCAAATGAAGTGTATCACAGTTTTGCAAATTCCTGTGACCTTTGAGTTTACTTTTGATATATGTATGAAATCTCAGACCTTTATAGATGTCAACCCAAGACCTGAGTAGAGCGTCAGATCTTTAGACCAACAAACTCCCATTCCCTGTCAGTGCACAGTAGGATGAAACTAGAATCAAGGAATTGGGAAATACTTCATATCATTGATTTTGTTTTGTTTTGTTTTTGTCATTCAA